TGACGAGCGTCACCCGTATGCATACTTTTCTTCCCGAGCTTGGTACTTCGTGGCTTCGACTCAGAATGCTCCAAAAGATTCCAATATCTCCAATTATGCTCCAGACATGCTATAACCTGCAAAGACTCTTCTAGGACTCTAAAAAGACCAAAAAGACTCAATAAAAAGAGACTTATATCATGGTTAAAAACCATAAAAACCATGATATATCACACTCGCTTCAGCAGGCTATCGATTTCTGATCTGCTCGGGAGGTCAAGGTCCCTGCCTGTAATGATTATCTCATCGATAGCGTCGCTGGTAGCCTTCCACTTAACAAACTCCCTCTCAAAATACGGAAGAGCCCCGGCAGGGAGTTCCCATCCTTTGTCCTGCATCTTCTATAAAAAGGCTACCATGTGGCTAATTTTCTCTACGCCAACAAGGGCTGCTTCCACCTCTTCGCGCTGAACCAGTGAAGCCTGAATCCGATCTAACCGCGGCTTAAACCAAGCGATCATACTATTGAAGATTATGTCGGCAGCACCTTGCACGATCTCCTTGCAGGACTCTTGGAGCTTGTCCTTCTCGGCAAGGAACCTCTGCGAGTTCTCCTCATTTCGCTTCTCGAGCAACTCGTTTTACGCACGGAGGGCAGCCACCTGTTTTCGAAGTCGGGAAGCTTCCACCACTTCGCCCTCGAAGGCTTCAATAGTCCCTTCGAGCTGGGAACACCACTCTTTAAGAAGCGGGTTCTTGTTTTCTGCCTTTTTCAGCTCCTCGATTTTGGCGCAGGCAACGTCCAACATCATTGCTTCTTCACAATACTCGTAGTCGTATGTCGCGAACGCAGACATATATTCTCCCAGGCCTTACACCATAGCTTACCGTTAAGGACAGCGCATAACAAGATAAAATAAAGAGCATAAAGAAAGATATGCATACCCGAGCTATCAAATGGCTCGCCGAAGAAATAGAATTCGCTAACTTCAGCTCTCGTAGGGGTTTGTCCCATCTCGGGTGCTCTCTACACTTCCAAATCAGTTTGGCGGCGAAGTCGCGATCAAGCATCGCCTGAGTAGCTCCATCCCACTTCACGTTGAAGTAATTAGGGTTGTAATCGAAGAACTCCTCTTCCTGCTTGGGCTCGGCAGGAGCACTCGGACAGGCACCTTCAGTGCCCAAAGCATTTTGTGAAGGAGCAGCCTCCTCCGGAGCCTTTAAACCGGCACCACCAGTGCCCGGACAGGCCATAGCAGGCTCTTCAGTCTGACTTACGTCTTCTGAATCCTGGATCACGGGGCTCTTAGGAGTATCCGCTCTGGGCGGCGAAGGAACATTGGCCCGGGGCGGCGAGGGAACAACCTCGTAATGGCTCCCAGCAGCATTGGAAGAACCCCCATCACCACCATCCACGATTCAAGAAGGATTTTCTTGGGACGCTTCACCCTGAGAACCCCTCGCAGCTTTCTCGGCCCGAGAACGCCCCAATCTTTCTAGTGCGGCTGCCCTGGAGAAACTTCAAGAAAAGAGGAAAGCAAAGTATCAAAACCCAAAGATGTCATCTCGGCTGTACAAAATAATGCACGAAGTCAGAAAAAGAGTTTACCTCGCAAGAGTCTCATTCTCGACAGCCAGTTCGGCATCATTATAATTCACCAAAATAGGTGGATCCCGGGGAGTCGTTTTCTTCTTCTTTCGGAGGAGCTCGCAGGAGCATCTGCATTAGCTGACGAAGCCGCCTTCCTCTTCTTTCGGCCAGACCCTTTGGGTTTCGGCTACGAAGTCCTTCTAGAAGCTGAAAAACAAATGTGTCAACAAGACCTCATCACCAAATACTGATCAAAGCTACTTCAATCTATTAACACACCTGCTTTTGGAGATTCATCTTTCTTCTTAGCTGGCTTCTTCTTCTCATCAGCGTCCCGTTTTTCCCCTTCTTCTTAGCTGGCTTCTTCTTCTTATCAGCGGTCCCCTTTTTCCCCTTCTCGGACCACAACTGCCGGCTCAGGTCGCACAACTTCATGTAATCGACATCAAACCCAAACGGGTCATCTCCAAGACATATTGTCACTACCATAGAAAAAAAAACACAAAACAACACACATCAGCATCCGAGAATTAGCTAGCAAAAAGTAAAGAAAAATCGGTTCGCCTTACATGGCTTCGACCTCCAAGTCCTGAATAAGTTGAGCTCGGAACTGCCGATGGATGCCTCATTAATCTTCATGTAGAAGAAAAACTGATCCCATTCATGAACCTTACTTGTCGGGTCCCCACCGATAATTCTCTCCTTCATCGAAGTGTAAAAATGGCGCCACCCGCCACGATTCCACCTCCCTTTCTTCAGAATGGATATCATTTCAAAAATATCCTAGTTGAAAGGAACCATCGCGGTACGAGCTACCGCCGCCAGACTGTTGAAGTGACGCATCACAACGTGAGAGAGCTGCGCCACTAGCATCTTCCGCCGTTTGCACTAACGAAGATGCAGCGAGATAGGGAACTGAAGATCGAAGTCCGCAAAGTGGCACTCGTAGACACAGAAGTAGCCCTCCGGCGGTGTTGTCACTCTCTCGTGAACCCGAGGGAGTAGAAGCTCGATTCTCTCAGGAAAACGACATTTTAATCGAAGTTCCTGGAGTCTCTCAGTAGTCATCCAGGTTCTCCCATCTTTGATGCCAGTCATGTGCTTTGACATCGCAATTTTCTGCGGAAGGCCGTCGATCCTGATCTCCGGTCCAAAGCCCTCAGGTTTGAAGTTTTCTGACTCCAGCTCGGAGTCGATAACGGGATCGTCCGGTGAGATCTCATCTCGGTAGCCTGAGGATTCCCCAAAACCCGAAGCAGAAGGAATGAGACTAACCCAGGCTCGTCGAGCGGTGAGAGAAATATCGTCATCATAAAAAAAAACTCTCTGATGAATTCGACATTTTTCGGCAAAAGAACAATATCTCTTAAAGAATAGAAGAAAATGAAAGAAGATCGGCAAAGAAAAGAGGGGAAAAATCTCTTGCAGCAACGAGATAATTTTCGCTACACACAGTGTGAAGAAAAAAAATTTTGGAACAAGAAGACGAAGAGATAAAAAGTAAGTAGTGAAATCAGAAGGAAATATCAACAATTTCCTAAAGGGACGCGTGTCGAGATTCGCATGATCTTGCCGCTTGACAAACCCTTCGCCTTTCCGGCTTGGAAGCAAAACCCTAAAAGAGTCAGAATATTAATAATTATTTCCAAGGAAGCGCCATGCGTCAAGTCCACTTAAAATCGGGCCGAGCTGGCCATCGTGAAGCAACACTCTTAACGAGCTATCGCTTATTGCGAGATCAAACCCATTTAAACTTTCATGAAGTCCGTCGACATGATTTACAATCAGTCTCATCGAACTGGGGGGAGGGGGGGCTTACTGTTAGAGGGGAAATGAGCACATTTCCTGAAAGGCTTTCTCTAGCATTAATATAAGCCTATCAAGACTAGGAAGACTGCGCCGACCTAGCTCGGATAAAAGAAAAATTCTAAAAGGAACCTTCGATGTCCGGAAACATCGGATCAACTCGAAGGATTAAGGAGAATTTCCATATTCATCGGAGAATAAGGGATATTTCCATATCGCAAATATAGAAATATTCACCAAAACGAAAATGGAAAAGGAGTTCAGAGCAACCGACCTCCTATCCCTATAAATAAAGGGACCCCGAAGCCAAGAAGACCAACTCATACATTCTAGAGAGCAGCAAAGCCAAAATCAGAGACTCCAACATTTTTTAGTTTACTTCGCAAATACTTTTTTTTACTTCGGCATAACCTCTCGATTATACATTTTTTTGTAATCGCTTCGCTTACTTGCTATTAATAAAAAGATCTTGTTCTCCGAAACCCACAATTGTTCATCAAACCCTAGTGGTAATTTTCTGGTTCAACAGAAACACTCTTCAAGCTCCAATGTTGTGGCCACTACATCCTTCACTCTCCGCCGCCGGGAATCTTCTACAGCTTCTGAAACTCTTCACTCTCCGCCGCCAGGAATCCCTCGGCCGGGTAGTTCTCGAACGTCTTGGCTCGCTCCATGAACTGCACCGCACGTGGATCCTTGGGATTTGGTGTGCACTTTGAGATCATTTGCTGTAGCATCTTTTTCAGTTCGTCACAGTAGGATGATTGTGAAGACATTTTTGTGTTTGCTTTTATAAATTAAGACTTTTTCTTAATAAAATCTAAAATCTAAACAAAGAAGAAACGAGAAAAACAAACAAGCAAAAGAAAAGAAAGAAACGAATGTCTATCAACAAGAGAAAATATGGATCGTTGGCGATGATTATCGATTAAGAATGATTAACTTTAAACTAATGATACTAGCACGTTCAATAATTTATTATCATGACAACTAATTAGGTTTTATTAGTTGATAAGTACATTCAAAGCTAGATTTGTTTTAGCTTTTTAAGCATAGAACCTGAATTGTTTGTTTAGATTCTCACGAACAAACTTATTTAACGTCGACACATATCCAAAGCCCATTTAACAGCCTTCCAAAACAAAACCTCGGCTTAATGGAGCCCAAAACATTGGTGTGAGAAAGATCTAATGGAGGTGGATGCTGTGAGAATCTTCCCAAGAGCCAAAATAGTCTCATCATTGTCATCTTGCTCTTTAAAATCATTTTGTCTTCATTGATCTTTTTACCCTTAAACGCTATGCCATTTTGGGTTGGTATTAAAGGATGACAAAGGCATGCTCTTCAAGTAGTTCAAGAAAATATGACTTGGCTTGTCACAGGTGAAATCAGGACCATCGATGAGTTTGATAAATTTATTCGTTAGTTTGATATCGGGACCAAAGATCAGGTTCTAAACATTTAATACATGCTTGCTTCTTTCGTTTAAACCGATTATATACTGTTTTCACCATTTGAATCCTTGTGAGTGTTGTATTGCAAGCCACCATGTGAACTTCGGTGAATTTGTCATTTCTGGTTATGTTAAATGGATATGTGAACATCAGAGGTGCCAAGTTTCAAATTCACATGAACCGAAATTTAAGGAAGACGACACCAAAGAAAATATTAAAAAAAAAATAAAAAAAAATAAGAGAGTACATACAGAGTAGTTAATTCCGGTGGTTTTCTGCTCATCTACTTCCATCCACCTTCGTCTCTTCCGCCGAATTCAATTCTTCTTCTTCTTCCCATCTCTCTCTCCTTAAAACCCCTAAATTTCTCTCCTCATTTACGAACCCAGAAAAAATTGATTGAAACCCATTTCCCCGATCTTCTTCCTCATGGAGATCTGCACTTACTTCAAATCCCAACCCACCTGGCTCCTCTTCCTCTTCGCACTCGGCTCAATCACAATCTTCAAATTCATCTTCACTCTCCTCAGATCCTTCTACATCTACTTCCTCCGACCCGGCAAAAATCTCCGCCGGTACGGATCCTGGGCTATCGTCACCGGACCCACCGACGGTATCGGCAAAGCTTTCGCCTTTCAGTTAGCCCAGAAAGGGCTTAACCTCGTCCTCGTCGCTCGTAACCCCGAAAAGCTCAAAGATGTCTCCGATTCGATCAAATCCAAGTACAGTAACATCCAGATCAAGACCGTGATTATGGATTTCTCCGGAGATATCGATGAAGGCGTGAAGCGGATCAAGGAGACGATCGAGGGTTTGGAGATTGGGGTTCTGATCAACAACGCCGGGATGTCGTACCCTTACGCTAAGTACTTCCACGAGGTCGACGAGGAGTTGGTCACGAACCTGATCAAAATCAATGTCGAAGGAACCACGAAAGTGACTCAAGCTGTGCTTCCAATTATGCTTCAGAGGAAGCGAGGAGCCATTGTTAATATGGGTTCTGGTGCTGCAGCTCTTATCCCTTCGTATCCTTTCTACTCTGTTTACGCCGGCGCCAAAACGTAATGAATCAAGATCAAGATCGTTTTCTTTTTTGTTTGTTTGACCTGATGATGATTGTTTAAGCAATAATGACATTGTTTGTTTTTGCTACTCAGGTACGTGGATCAATTCACTAAGTGTCTCCATGTTGAGTACAAGAAAAGTGGGATTGATGTTCAATGCCAGGTGAATTTTCCTTAATCGTTTTGCTGCTTCATTTTGTGTCTTTGGGTTGATTTTGGGTTGAGATTTTGTGCTGAAAAAAAGAGATTTGGGAATTGTTTAAGAAAGTTGATGGTGTTGCTTCAAAGTGTGACTTTGTAAGACCAGATTTATGATTTAAGCTATGAGTAAACCAATCTTGTCTTTGTAAAACCGTACTGCAAAGGGATCACAGGTAAAAGAGGATTTTAATTGAGATAAGATGTTTCTTGAATCCCTAATTGAGATAAGACCTTTTCTTGACAATTATTTTTAGTTGAGATAATGTGTAAAACGTTGTTATTGAATCCCTAGAAGACGCGATGCTATATTCGTCATGGTTTCTTGACTCTGTTTCTGTTTGTTTAGTGGATCAAAAAGGTTGATGGTTTTTGTTCAGATCTTATCTAAGTTTTAAGCTAACTGGTTTTCGCAAATGAGGAACTATTGCATTACATGTCTTTTTTCTGAATTCTTCTCTGATGTGAGATCTCGTAAAAACTAGAAAACCTGTGGCTTAGATGATGACATGTAAGCATTTTCAGATGTAGAATCCGTTATAGCCAAGTGTGGAGTTGAATATCAACAAAACAACTTAATGGTTCACACTGCTCAATAACTTTTTTGTTTCCATAGGCTCCATTGTATGTTGCGACGAAGATGACATCAATAAGAAAAGCATCCTTCTTAGTGGCATCACCAGAAGGTTACGTAAAGGCAGCAATGCGTTTCATAGGCTATGAAGCACTCTGCACACCGTACTGGCCTCACGCTCTCATGGGTTTTGTTGTCTCTGCATTGCCTGAGAGCGTTTTCGAGTCATTCAACATCAAGAGGTGCCTCCAGATCCGGAAGAAAGGGCTGCTTAAAGACTCGAGGAAGAAAGAATGAAACTCTTTGAGAGGTTTAAGCTAGATTTTCTTCTTTCTGCAGTTTGGTTTCTTGAAAGTTTCTCCGTTCTGAATCTTTTGTTAAGACTTGTAAGAATTAGTTTTCCGATTTTCCCAAGTTTGTTGTTTCCTTAATTTTAAATTAAAAGCCCTAACGTGCACGAAAATCTGTTTTCTTTATTTATTTTAAATATAATTGAATGTTCACCCCCAAAAATGTATTGGAGAGCATTTGAATGTGTTTTTGCTTTTCGTCAAGGGTCTTCTCTCTGCTTGAGTGTAAAGAACATGTAAAGCCGTTTGAACACTGTACGGAATATTCAGACAACTGATTGTAACTAGATATGTAAATCTAGATAATTTTTGTGACTAAAATTACTATCTGAACAATCACTAATTTGGGTGAGTAATAAATCTAAGACCGGGTATATCAGAACATTCGGGAATTTTGTAATATTTTGAGTATTTTTTATATATATTTTTGATAATCAAATGTGTTATTGAGATACCATATCCCATACACGACCCATTCCAATATACCATATCCCATACACGACCCATTCCAATAATGCCTCCCCAATAGTTTGTTGTATGTCACATTGTCAACGGTTACACCCGTAATTTCTAACCCAAGTTTCAGACGTTATGTCACGTTGATGAGAGGTTATATTATAAGTAACGTATTTCACCGATATTTAGGAAAACCAACTCATGTGGCTATTGTTGCATAATTTGGTTTGTTACACACATCATTAATTGTTTAACAGTCAAACATTAATCACGACACAAGGTGACCAAGGAAAAGGTACGGCGGGTCCATCTAAACACATACTATCATATGTTATCATTTTTGTTTGATAATCTGATTAAATCATAATTATTCAGTGGTTAAAATGCTTCTCAGATGAGTTGTTTTGTGCCTTTCAGTAGTGAAGCTTTTACATCCTCACAAAATTTGGGTTTATTTATAGATGTCTTGAACTTTATCGTATCATTAAGCAAAAAATTTCAAGGAAGCATTCAAAATAACATACAATACAAAATAGAGTTTAAAAGTTTTATTACTTTTTGTACAAGTTTTGTTAACTTGCATAGACTATAGATAGAATGATATGTATTTGCCTGATGATGATTTTTTTTTTTCTTTAAATTGTAGATGAAAAGTTATTGGCCATTATATTTGATCTTCAACAAGACCGTCGAACATTTTTAGCTGTACTTGTCATAATTTTTATTTAACATTTGTCATCATTTTTATCTATTAGTGATTTTGTGAGTTCCTATTATCTTTATAATCTAGATATTTGTTGGGATATCGTTATGATTAGCTAACTACGAGCTGCAATAAGGTTACAATGCCGTTTAACAAGTGATCAAGCACTCTGTTCAAAAATTAGCTCCATCGGATGCCAAAATCTGGGTATTATGCAGAGGGAAATGATTCAGCTATGAATCTTGAGGCTGCTGGAGAAATTTTGAAAGTGGGGGGGATTATACTTGACTTTGTACCACTGTGTTTAGGGTTTGTCAAGGGGTTGCTCAAGGAAATCGCAGTGAGAGATTTTGTTTCTGTAAAATAAGCAGATGAAGCTAATTTTGACATATATAAGATATCAAGTTATAAAGTTTGTTACTTAGATGATAAAGTTTGTAACAAAGATGATAAATTTTGTTACAAAGAAGATGAGAAAGAAGATGAACACAATTAATGTAGTTCTTAGTGAGGATGAATTTGAGGCTGAATTCTTCTCTGATGTGAGATCTCCTTTCTGATTATTTATTGAGGAATGTCAAAACTAGGGAACTAAGGAATCTATGTTATATGATCTTAGATGATTAAATGTAAGCATTTTTGGATGTAGAATCCTTATAGCTAAGTGTGGAGTTGAATATCTAAACAACTTAATGGGTCACATATGGCTATATGGCTATAATCGGATGACTTGTTTCCATAGGCTCCATTGTATGTTGCGACGAAGATGACATCAATAAAAAAAAGCATCCTTATTAGTGGCATCACCAGAGGGTTACGTAAAGGCAGCAATGTGTTTCGTAGGCTATGAAGCACTCTGCACACCGTACTGGCCTCACGCTCTCATGAGTTTGTTGTCTCTGCATTTAGATAATAACGGATTGGCCGTTCAGATAATATTTTGCAACTAAAATTACTATCCCAACAATCACTAATTTGGGTGAGTATTGTAAATCTAAGACCGGGTATTTCAGATCATTGGGAAATTTAAAATATTTTTGAGAATTCTTTTTATATATTTTTGATAATCAATATGTTATTGAGAATCTGAGATACCATGTCTCTCATACACGTTCCATTCCAATACTCGCTCAAACGAATTAAACTGTCTAAAATGAATATTAGTTTTAATGGGTACAGCTATACGGGTCCGGTCAGAGATGAGAGAACCCTCCCAAAATATTCAGTCCCAAACCAAAATCGATAATGCAACACCAATAATTTGTTGTTGTATATGTCATATTGTCAACGGTTACATCGGTGATTTTTGACCCAAGAAACAGACGTTATGTCACGTTGATGACAGGTTCTATTATAAGTAACGTATTAGGAAAACCAACCCATGTGGCCGCCATTGGTATTGCACAATTTAGTTTGTTACACACAACAAACAATCCATTAGTAGTTAGCAGTCAAACACACGATAGGAGGTGAATCGAGGAGTATTAAAAAACTAAAAAGATTTTCAAAAATCAATATTATTCTACTCTCTACTTTTATGTATATCTCTGTTATTCAGAATTTTAGTATTTTACATTGTTTAGTCTAGGGAATAGGGATTATGAAACTTGTTACGTATATAATTCGCTCATAGTCTCATACACATTATTTTAAGTAAAGTAATATATGTATAGTACTTGGAGAGGGTCTGCTTATATACATGGAGGTTTCGACCATTAGGTTTCACATGCTAGACTTATTTAATTTAATAATATTAACGTGTGATTCGAGTGACAAAAGAATGTTAAATGTTACACAGTTCGCTGGTAATGTGTTTTGTTGGAACTTACTTTCAAAACCTACGGTATACAAAAGATAGTTCTTGAAATGATTCATTGACAATCCTGAATCAAAGAGCCTTAAATTCATCTTCTATTATCTCTTAAAAACTTCTGATCGAACTCGGTTTCCGAAAGTGATCATAGGTTGCTTGTTGAAAATGTGCTACTCTCTTCATTGAACTAGTTAGTGATTACCTTATTCTACCTTATAGAGACAATGGCTTACAGATACCTTTATAAAGCATTGAAATGTTCTCATAAGTTATCATTTTTGTACAATATGTTGAGATTCATACGATAATTCAAACACACAATGATTCCTGCGTTGTAAGTTACAGAAGCAAACACATTCTTATTCTGTTTCCATATGTTATAACAAGATATGCAATCCAACTTACAAGTAGCTAAACTAGTAATTCATTTTATTCTCAGAGAGTTACTTAATCTTTAATCTCATGCAACACAAACAGAAAATGATGAACCCGAGATCGAAAACATGCAAATGTATAACAAAATGTGGCTTTATCCTTCGGTTGTAAGTCAGCGGACCTAAGTTTAGGTTTTGATATAGATTATTTACATAAGGACTGTATTTACGATAGGTTATGTTAATGATTTTTTAAACAAGAAAATCGTATACGCACTACAGTTAAAATCCAGTATATAGTAGGCGGGATCAAACAAGGATGGTTGTCCAAAATTTAAATATAAAACTGTCCATAAAACAAAGGATTAATTTTACATTTGAATCCCAACGATGATCAAATATATATAAGATAATTATCACTCAGACCTCATTTTGTTGAGTTGGTTCAAGGCAGGCTGCAATATATTGTAAAGAACCCAAAGCAGCGCCGGTGCAACCACGAACAACAACAACTGTCCCCTGTTGTCTCCACCTTTCGCAACCGCTTCCGCCACCGCCTCAGCCTCCGGCGGCATAGTCAAAAGCCCTGACGCGGCAAGACCACCGCCGATACCTAGACCCACGACGACTCCTTTGCTCTCACGCATCTTGTTGATCTGGTTGAGAGCCGGCTGGAGAATGTTGAAGAGGACCCATCCGATCGCCGGGACGATGGGGAGGAGAAGAGCTAATCCGCGGTTGTCGCTGCCTTCCGTCGCGGCCGCCGCGAGCTGAGCGATCTGGTGAGCGGCGAAGGCGGGTTCTGAGTAGCTGAGGGCGGAGAAGACGGCGCCGGCTAAGGCGGTGCTTGTGACGGCGAGAGAGACGGTGGGTTTTGGTGGGGTTGGGAGGGAGATGAAAGGTTTTGAGGAGGTGGGTTTGGTTTGGTTTAGGGACTTTGGTGGAGATGGGTTTAGAGACATGCATTTGGCTGATGTCGCCATTGTTGCAGCCATTTGATCGGAGGGCTTGGAGATGAGAGTTAGAGAGAGAGAGGGATTTGAGGAGAGTTTGTGAGATTATAGAAGGAGAGAAGGAGGATCAATGGAAATGAAAGGCTTCTGGATACTTCTCTTATCCAAGGAGAAGAGAGTTGGAGATTTTGGGGAGATTTTAGCCACAGATTCTATACCCCACTTCTACTTTTTCTTATCACTTCGTTTATTTTCTCCTCTTTATATAATTTTTTACTTTTAAATTTTATATTATGTCTTTTATTAAATTTTCGTTCTTACAAAACTCTTTGGATTATATAAGTCTAATTCATTTTTACGAGTGTTTAAAAGTGTCACTGAAAATAAAAGGATAACCCATATGGAAAATATCTATTTGAAACAAAACATGATGGTAAATTTGTAAATAAATTACCTTTACTGGTTAAAATAATGGAAAAAAAAACTATAGAAAACGGTACATCTTGAAATTGTTGACCATATAGATCAAAAATGATCAAACAAGTCTAAAAATTTGAGAGAGAGGAGAGAGAAGTTCGCTCTCAAACCCGAGTTCCCATGCGTTGACAGTGGTTACCGTTTAAGAGGCTCGAGGAACTATTCCTAATACTTTTTATCCCAAAATGGAAAGTCTGAATATGTTTACTAGTCTCCAACAGTTCCTCATGCGCTGACTCTGGCTACTTTGAGCATATCACGAATCTGATATTGGCTTTCTCCCCAAACTAGCCAGATTTAGATCTCCTCACCACCGTAAAACAACTCTGACAATTTGTTCTGAGCCACTTCCATCACATTTCCTCGAAGATTTCCCGGAAATCGCAACATCCGACAACAGAAGTAGACGAATCTTCCACACCTT